CGCTGCTTTCCTTCGCATGTCCCTTCTTGTCAACAGAAAGCGAAAGGGATTCATGGCGGGCTTCTGTTCCTTTTCCTCTCCAACTTCCACTGCCGACAACTCTGTGACTTCTTGCTCCCAAATCAAACTGATCTTGTTCTTCATGCTTTTCTGGATCTTGCTGCGAAAGCAATGACTCTGAGCCATCAAAACCACCTTCTCCACCAGGTCTGGCTCTAGCATGATGGGGATTGATAGCTGCAGATCCAGCATCGAAGCCTTGCTTGAGTGGGGATTCAGCTTGCTCTCTCTGTGATTGCTGGCTGTGTCGTCCGGCTGCCAAGCTTTTTTCACTCTTGCACTGTGGTTGAATACAGGCTTGGAGAGTTCTTCCAGGTGCGCCGCCTGTGGCAAGTGTGAACACAAACTTTCTGCTGCATGGTGCATTAGTAATCGCTTTGCTTTTGCGAAAGTTCAAGTGTGCCTTGGAAGGCCCTGGCAGTTCCGCTTTGCGCCTGGCTGCATTACACAACTGCAAAGCCAACTGACCTGTCCAACATCTGCAGTGCATTGGCCAGTCCTGATTGGAAGCTTCTATCTCAAACGCATTGCCTGAAAGGCAGGACCAATCAACGGTCCAAACGTCGGCAGGGTATGCAAAAATAGGTGGCCCAAGGTTTGATCCCTCGACATTTGACCTCAAAATCCAAGCCGCAGGCATCCGGGAGGCCCTGGTAAATCGCCAGGCCTACCATCGGAGAATTTGATATTCACGATCAAGCACGAAAGGAACAGCGGGCCTCAAGCGAAGGAAGCCTCAGTTGGAACGTATCGTGATCGATGCAAGCCGTTGTATGCAGGAAGATCTGTTGAAGATGTTATAAAATCTGTCTTCACTGCCCAGCTCAGAGCTTTCATCGTCCTCTTCATAGATGTCCTGCTTGAGACGTCTGAAGTCTGAAGTGCAAAATGTGTTCTATACATTCACATATGCGCATAGCTTCCTGTGGTGTCGGGCGCAAAATGTGAAACCTTTTAGGTCGGAGACATTGGTTGGTATGTGGCACCTCCAAGCGCAAGAGATGCGGCGCACTGTGTTTGGAAACCAGGATAACCAAAAGCCTTATCGAATCACTTGGAATCACTGCAATTTGATTCATCACATGTCAGAAGCATAACCACATTCTTGAATATTCATTCAATACTGAAAGCGTCACTTTAGACGCTTGGACCGGATGTGCTTGGAACCCTCATGTCACGCGCCACCTCCCTCAGAGAGCCAGGACTGCTGAAGTATGTTCTGGTCGGTGCCTAAGTGTGACCATGGAAGCGGAAAAAGAATCTACATTGAAAAAGCCTTTTTTTGGCTCGCTAGGGGGGTGTAGGGGGGTAAGGCTGCTATGAGGAAGAGGTAGCTAGTGCTATAAAGTAGCTATTAAGTACTGGACGCTCTAGTAACTGGATGCAGGATAGCTCACGCTTCTTCAAGGGGGTTCCAGCGCTCGCACTAGTGATTTAGTTCCTAGATTTTAGGGAACTTGATGATTAGTGATGATGATTGGAGCAGACTCCACATTGACCTTCAAGAGCATCATGAGGCGATCGAGCAAGCGACTGTAAGTTGTTCATTGGCCTTGCAGATAGTTGCCAGTTTTCTTCTTCATCAGATTCAGATCGTTCAAGTATATATATATATACATTGAAATAAAGCTCAGCCTGAGAGGTACTTCCGTGCGAATTCGTCCAAAGCCGCCTCAAAGAGGTCTCAAGAAAGGTTTTCACGGATCTCGGATGTCTCGCTAAGTCTGTTTTTTCTCTTCGAGCCTTGGTGAAGGGCTGCACCAGCTCTTTGAGGACCGAACCTGGAAGCACGTCTTTGTCTTGACGTCTTTGGAAAAGCGAAGCCTCACAGAGATTGCGAAGATGAAAGTCAACCCGTTTCAAAGCCGAGGTCTGGACGGGAGAAAGTGTTGACTCAACTGGGCTCGATGCTTTCGAGAGTTCCCAATCAAATCTCAGAGAATCTAGGATCGCTCAATCAACTCATCGGGCCTTCCCTCTCGTTCGCCTCAGCCTGGCTGGCCTTCCTGCATTTCAAACATCACTTCATATCGCTCACTGGCATCGATCGAAAAACAAAAAAAGCTTTTCGTTCCATCATTGTTCTTCACTTAAACACCCTACTCTAAGCAGCAAATTCAGGAAGTCTTTTGGCCTGCCAACTCCGAGCTGGTCGCGAGTGAGAGCCTCCAGTTATGAACATTCCGAATTCCCCACCAAGTTGTAGAGGTACTATACTATCCTAGTAAAAGAACAACGCGCCGATCGGGTGGTTCGGCGCGCGCTTCATGATTGAAAACAGCTTGCAAATGGAGCTTCAAGCCTGGTTTTTCGCTGCTGCCCGCAGCATGTTCACACTTTCACACAGATGGCCACGAATTGTCTTTGTCTATCTCAAGAAAGGCATCAGGATGGCATCCCATGTTTCCTACGCGGCATTTTCTTGCCACTGCCATACCCCCCCCACCCCACCCAATGTTAATCTTACAATTTATCGATGACAAGTTCTATGAACCCGATGACAAGTTGGATGAATCATTATGAATCCGATGACAAGTT